TTTCTGATAAAAGGCTAAATAAAACAAAAATATTTAAGTTTCTAGCTAAATATTTAAGTTTCAAGCTAAATATTTAGCTCAAAACTAAATATTTTTCACAAGTTAAATATTTAATTTGTTAACTATTTAATTCATAAGTTAAATATTTAGTTTATAAACTATGACATTTATAAACATTTGAATCATATGGTGAAAAACTGACTTTGAAAAATAAATCTGTTCTTTTTTTCTGATAAAAGGCTAAATAAAACAAAAATATTGGTGGTAATTTTTGACTGTGTAACTTTACAAACGGCAGCCCATAGTTTAGAGCTGAACTCTCCACAGTTTAGCTACTTTTGTTACCATAGCAATTAAAACATGATTGGAAGCTGTAAAAAAAAAAAAGCCAAACAGGTGAGTTTTCTGGCTTACCTACAGCTCCTGAGGTTAGATCAGTGTTGGGGGTTAATCTCAGCGGAGCTCTGTAGTGCTCCATCAGGCTGAGCAGAACCAAGGTCATCTCGTGTCCGTCTGTCTCTGCTGCAGCCTGTGGCTCCATCCCGCTGTCCCTCTCCCCCCAGCTCTGCTCCGCCGGCGTTTCTCTGGACGAGGGCAGCGAGCTCGAACCTTCCGACCCGGCCGCCGCCTTCTCCTGTCCCACTGCCGCATCGCTCCAGCTGGTGTCCGAGGAGACGTCCACGCCGATCACTGCCCACTCCGAGGGGGCCGAGGGCTTCTGCGTCCAGTCCGGGAGCTGGGAGGTGGAGGTGGAGGAGCAGGGGGTGATGCTGGCAGCCGGTGAGGGAGTCTTCGTGTTATCGGCTGAAGCTGCGGCCATGGCAGCCAGGTCTGCCTCTGAGGGGGAGGTAGGAGGTGTGTGGTAGAAATCTAAAGGGGAACCTGAAGAGAGAGAGAAAGGAAATTCCCAGAGGTTCACATTTAAAAAAGTGCTACGCCTCTCTGTTCCTCTTCATGCTGCAGATCTGAGCTTCCTTATTCACCGGCCCACACTGACTGATGCAGCAAAAAAGTCTTTAATATCTCAGTAGGCAAACAGTTTCCCCATCTGCAGGGAAACTGATCCTCAGCTCATCTCACTGCTACACATCCATCATCAAAACAAATGAGAAATTATTGATTTTACTTGTCTGATTTTGAACACTGATCATGAAACTTCAAGAAAACAGTTACTGCAGAAACAGAAACTGCAGCAATCTTGGACACTCTCCCAGTTTCCCCTCCTTGTCCTTGTTTTAGTGTGAGATTCTGCACACTCATCCCTTCCTGCACGGCACGGCAGCAGTGTGATGGGCTGTGGTCTGCTGGGCTGCAGCAGAGGAGCTGGAGCCGACAGCCTTCATGCTGACAGCCGAGAGGCTCAAAACCAGCAGCTGCATCTTAAACAGCTGAATGAAGCCAGTCAGACGCACATCAAATGTGTTCAGGTGGAGACGAGGGCTCATGTGTGGACAACTCCAAGTTAGGTCTACCTTTATGCTCTCTGCCAGTGTTGTATAAAGTACCTCAAAGTGATACTTGAGTAAAAGTACAAGTATTTTATCATAAAAATACTTTGGTCAAAGTTAAAGTCTTCTCTAAAAATATTACTTGAGTAAAAGTCTTAAAGTATCTGATATTTTTTGTACTTCAGTATCAAATGTAAATTTCTGACACAAAATCTACTTCAGTATTAAAAGTAAAAGTACTGAGTAAAAGTGAGCAGTTAGATTTTCTAAAATGACATTTACTGGGAGGTGACTTCTCCAAAAACTATATTTTCTAACAGCGTGCAGCTGTGATGGGTTGTGTACAAGCTAATAGTGTGTCAGAATGGTATATATTTATACTTCTCATCCAAACACAGTTAAATTCACTCTATCCAGGAGACACAATTTATCAGGGTAGGATTTTTTAAGTAATAATAACTCTGAATAAAATAGGAGTAACGACTTTCTACTTCTTACCTTTTTAAAAAATGCAGCGAGTAGAAAGTAGATAATTGTGTAAAAATGTAACAAGTAAAAGTAAAAAGTACGCTGAAAAATAATTACTCAAAAAAAGTACAGATAACCAAAATTTCTTTTTAAGCACAGTAACAAAGTATTTGTACTTAGTTACTTTAAAACTCTGCCTATTTATTATTTATTGAAGAGTATGGGGCTTTTTCCCAACAATAACAAATATTTTACATTTTTAAGAACTATTAATTGATTGATGCCTTTATTGTCGTCATACAGAGCAAAATGAAATCACATTTAAGAGCACCCATTCAAGAAGACATGTATTATACAACATACCTAATTTCTCAATTTTTTAAAAATATGTACAGTATTTACATGGTGAAATATAATTTGGCTAGGAAACAATTCAACATGATTCAACAATTACAGCCATCATTTGACAAGAGCAGACTAAAACCCTGCGTGTCGTTTTCAATAATTATGCTTAAACGTATATATGACATCATATGTTGAAATCAGGTTAAAGCTGTAAGACAAGAGAGTTACAGCTGTGTTAACCAGTTTATTTCTATTGTGTTAAAGCAAATTATGTTTATTATATTGACTGGATCATGTGTGGGGGTCAAAACCCCCAAATTATGAACAAATTATGCCCACAACTCTGAACAAAAGACTCCAGGTTTCAAAATAAGCCAAAAGTCATGAGGCGCTGCATCCAGTTGACAAAAAATTCAACATTTTTAGAGTGGCTGAAAATGGGTCTGTGGTCATATACTTACCTGATTTCAGAGTTTAAAGGTGAAAAGGAGTCTGTTGGCACCAGTTTAAAATAAGATTCATGAGGTGGTCAACAAATCACATTAAATGATATTAAAAAGGAGACCGAACTCGCTTTTAAATCCGTCTTTTTCACATTTAAACCCTTCAGTTAGGGCTTATATAAAGTAGAACTGCAACGCTTTGGTCTGAATTCCTTCTTATTGTAACTCCACAAGCCCCGCCCCTTTTCTGAGACATGCCACAGAGCAACACTTTTTGAGGCTGTCTCTTTATCCTAGCTTCACCCCGGCCCCCTCCAGCTTCCAGAGCGGTCCTTTTTAGTTTGACAGAGGGGTTTATGGTTATATAGCAGCGCAGAAAGTTTTTATTTACAAATGAATTAAAAGATGTGAACAAGAGAAGACTTGTCCATCCAGCCTTACATGTTGGAGCCAGAGTCTGACACAGAACCAGAGTCTGACCCAGAACTAGAGTCTGACCCAGAACCAGAGGAGACTGAAGACCACCAAACTCTATTGGCAAGTCCAGGCCTTATTTAGCAGTTCTGTCACAAGCAGAATATAAATATATCTACGCAGCACCAGAGAGACCAAATTAAACTTTTCTACACTCCAGTTAAACAAAATGATTTTAGCAGCTAAATAAATGGATTATACAACATGTCCCCTTTAAGACCGGATCAGTGATGCTTTTTAAAATATTTATTAGAAACAAGACGTTTGTCTTCTTTTACATCTGTTAAACTGTTGTATTAATGTCACAAAACACTGCAACATTCCAGAGAATTCACTATTTTGTGCACATTTTGTTGAATCTTTCACATTTTATTGTGATCCTTTGATGCTATAACCTTTTTTTTTTTGAAACAGAGGAGCAGAAAGCAGAAAATCCACTGGATGTTTTTTAATAAGATGCAAATGTTTCTTCTGTTCTGTTGCAACACGGTGAGAACGTCAGAAAACTCTCTGATCTTTGTGCAAACCAGCTGATTTTCACCAGGGAATAGAGATAAGAGATGAAGCGTGACAGTTTATCAAAATCTGGAGGAAAACAGTGAAACAAAAAGTCTGAATGGATAGAATTTATTAATTTCAACCATCTTAATGGTTTATCAGGAGGAAGTACTTTTAAAAAAGCAAAATATGGGAATAATCCCTATTTATTACATCCCTGAACATCTCTGCTAATAAACAAAAAGAGTTTAAAACAAACTACCTGTCGAGGCTTGGCCGTCCTTCCCATTATGGTTACCCATCATCCAGCAGGGCTGTGGATCCTGACCGCTGTCCTTCGGGTCAGCTCCACTGAAGTCCGTAAAAAGAAATAAATGTACATTTTTGTCAAGTTCAATACATAAACTAAAAATTTCTTCCCAATTTAGCTCCACGGTTTTAATTCCATCTGATACAATTTAAAATATTTTCTAAACCACATTGTATAACTCAAAGTTTAAGGTCTCCAAAAGGTGCAGGAAAAAGGCGTGTCTTAAACATGATCTGCTGCATTCATTTATCAGATTTGACACTAAGAAAATTAACTACATTTGGGTATTTTAAACAGCCACTAGCCAGGATCTAAACTTCATCTAAACCAGTGGTTTCCAAAGGCTGCAGATTTAAACTTTTTTATAAAAACACTTTGAAACATATGACAACTCAATAATAATCATTTTTATTATTTGTAACTATTGTGATTAAAATATTCCATCAGTTTTTATCACAATGACAGGAAGATTAGTGAAAAATAAAAATCACAAAGTAAGAAAATTTGGACAAATATTTAAAAAACTGACTGGGCACAAACTGTTGTGTGTTTGTTTACCTTCAGAATCGAACAAAGTGAATGAAAATAGGTCATCAGTGATGTTTCTTACAGAGATGTTTGAGGGAAAAAAAACAAAAGCAAAGTTGAAGTAATTGTATGCTTTTACTCAGACCTATTGGGTAAATTATGCAGATAAAAGTGCTTTGTTTACATTCAGTGCGTACCTGCATTTCACTATAAATTAACTAGGTATGTGGATGAATTTTTTTTTTATCCCACAGCAATATAAAATCTGACTGTCGATTCAAAAAGGACATAAAAACCAACATCATCATAAGAATCATGTGATTATCTCAAGTATGAAGGAAGTTTTGGACGTTTGTTTCGGTGTAATCAGGCCCATAATTTCTGATGCCATTCAGCTGCACCAGTCAGGCCTTTGT